GGGCAGGCGGAGGGGGCTGCGCGCCTGCTGCTGCCGCGGCGCCCCGCGGCCAGCGCTCTGCGGGACGGCGGCTGGGCAGCGGCGGCTGGGACCGCGCCTTCCTCTCCTTCTCCTCCTCCGCGAGGGGCGAAGGAGCCTTCTCAGAGGGCGGCCGGCGCGCAGCAGCCTGCCAAGGGAAAGGCGGCGGTGAGGCAGCGCAGCGGCCAGGCAGGAGCCGGCACCGCACCACCCGGCAGTGCCCCGCTAGCGCGGGCTGCCCCTCCCCGCCCCGGGAGCCCCAGCCGGCACAACAGGTCTGGGAGACATCTCGCTACCCGGTGTCCCCTCTTTCTCCCGTCCCCCAGCAGACGGGGTTCACTCAGACCCAGCCGTACTCTGAGGCGGGAGAAGAGGGCAGCGCGGCAGATTGCATCCCCAAACCCGCGGTGGAGTACCCTGCAGGCGCCTCAGGCGCCCCACAGGGGCACCCCACAACTGACAGGGGCTCCGAAACCCGGCTAGTTCCCGGGGCCCCACTTTTTACTACATCTGCGAGCCGGGTTTACATCCGTCTCCTAACGCCCCAGCCACCACGGGAGGAAATTTTATTCTTGTTATTGGTAACGCGCCCTCTCGCCCCTCGATGGAGTTGCCCCGCTATCTCTAGAGTTCGCGGGCGGCCAGGACGCCTCGAAGCCCGCGCCCCCGCCGCGGCGCTGCCCTGGACGGGCTCTGGAAGCCGCCGCCGCCCTTCTCCCCACCTGGCTGGAGAGCTGCACTCGGGTGGCCAGGCTGCCACCGCTGCCGCCGACCCCGGCGGCTCCTAAACTCTCGGGAAGGAAGCAGCCGGTACCCCTCAGCTCCCACCCCGGCATGCACACATTATCGCAGGAGTCAAAGCCTCACCCGGCATCTCCTTCGGAAGTTGCATCTCAGTTTTTCCCGTTCACCAGAACACCCGGCGATCTCGCTCCTGGGAGATCGCCCCTACACTTCCCCAGAGGCATCTCTACCGCTGCCCTAACGCTGCATCTTATTTTTGCTATCATTTAAAATGGTAATTTGCAAAAGGAACAGCCGGCGGGGAGGAGAACCGCCTTTTTACCTGGGAGGTCCATGACGGGAGAGGAGGGCTGGCTAGGTAGCTCGTCCGTGAACTTGTATTGCTCAGAGAAAATGAGCCGAGATTGCGCTGGCAGAAAGAAAAGGAAACAGGAGTCGCCTCTTTCTCTCCCGCCCATTGCCAATAATCATCCCCCTCCCGCCAGCCGCTACCACCACCACCCCACTTCCTCCCGCCTCCCCTCTTCACGCACACATACACACACACACAGACACACACATACACGCACCCGGCAGGGATTCAGACGCCGGTAGCGGAGCGGAGTGTGGCCACGGCACCTCCGTCTACCCCCCAGCCCTTCCCGGCCAGACGCCCCGCTCCCTGGAGCCGCACCCCAGCACATCGCGAGTAGCCGCGGCGAGGTGCGGTATTCCCACTGGGACAGCCTCTCCGGGGCGCCCCGCCGCAGGGTGTCACCGGCGGCAGGGAAAAGCCATATCCCCTCGCCCCCCTCCTCCCGTATGCCTACTTAAACCCGTCGTGGTGAGCCGCACCTGTACCAACATGCCACCGACACGTTAGCGCTGCTGCGGCCGAACCACGCAGCATCGCTAACTAGGAACTATTTGGAATTCATAGACTTTAATAATTCTGATAATAATAATAATAATCACTAAAAGGGACACGTTGTTTGGGGCACTTCATGCCGTAAGGCTCCACCCCGCACACTGAAAAGCCTCATTCTCACGCCCGTACCCCCGCGCCCAGAGCTCGGCGGCGGCTCGCCCTTTATCAAAGTATTTCTTCCACGGGGCGTCTCAGCTTCCCGAACCGGGACCCGCTCCCCGACCTACTTCCGGATCGGGATCTGCTCCTCGACCCGCTCCTGGACCGGACCCACTCCCCGATACACTCCCAGCCCAGGATCTGCTCCCCGAGTCGCACCCGCTTTCAGACCCTCCCCCGACCCAGGACCCGCTCCCGCACCGGACCCGCCCCGACCCCCACGGGCCCCGCCCGCGGCTCCGCTCCAAGTGTGGTCGCGAGGCGCCACCTGGCGGCGGCGCGGGGCGTCGCGCTCTTGGCGAGGCGGGCCGGGCTGGACCGCGGGGCCGCCGGGGGGCTGGGAGGGAGAAGGGAGGGACAGCCGCCCCCCGCCCAGGGAGGCCGGGAAAATCCCAAGGGACATTAGGCTGAGAAACCGAGTGGCCGCCCCCTCTCGCTGCTTGGGTGCACTGGGCATGTGGGTCGCCCCTGCCTTACGGAGCGGTAATGATGATGTATGTCACAGTCAAGGTTATCATCAGATATTACCGCCTGCAAATGTTGTTTCATGCGTCTCAGCTCGTGGGGCTGCTGCTGAGAGGTTATCGGCAACGCGAGAGAAGGTGAGGCAGAGCTCTGACAATGAAGTTTTGAGAAAAAGCCTTGCATTTTGATGCATTTCTCTCCGTTGCGAACTGCATTTCTCATTGCATATGGTATTTTCCTAGAGATCCTAAAACTCAGACTTCAGAATCTGAAAGGAACTTATCAGAAAGTATACATCTGCATATACATTTAAGTGGTAGCTCTTGATATAGAGACAAATTTATGGGTGTATGTAGACGGTAAAATTACAATCTCTTCTGTGAATGAGCACTCCTCTCTTTCAATCTTCTGCTTTAAGCAGAAGCAAGGAACCCCTGAGGGTGTCTGCCTCATGATTTGCACCGAGAAATTAATCATGCCCTGAAATTGCAGCTAAGCAGTGTCCAGGGAATTCCTAACCTATAGCTCCTTATTTCAAATTAGAAACTTATACTAAGCCTGAAACACTCATGTTTAACAGTCTTTTTCTTGACTTCATGGAGAGATGAGATTAGAAAGCTGAAAAGGGTGTTGCATTAAAATTGTCAGAAATCAGAGCAGGAACAGGTTTGTGGCTGTGAGGGAGCACCTATTCTGCAAGACAGTGAAAAGGACCATAGAAATTCCTTCAGAAGATACCCAACACCATCTTAGGTGGGTCTGGTACACTAGGAAGCTGCTATTATTTCTCTTTAGGTCACACTACTCATTGATTATGACTCTGTTGTATAAACAAGGAATGAAAGAAGAGCCAAAAGATTTGTGCCTTGTTTTATATGACTTACAACATAAGGCCCAGTGGTGAGGGAATGATGGCACATCATCAGTTCTGCCTGCTACTTTCAAGAAAGATGAGCATAACAATTAAAGGGAACTGAAAAGCCCTTAAATCTAATATGCACCCACAGGAGAAAAAAAAAAAAGATTAAGCCTTGCCTTTTTTAGTACAAGAAATGAATTCCACATGTACAGAAACTCTCTTCTTCTTAGATAGCTAACTAGCAAAAAAATGATCAGTACAAATCAGTACAGTATGAATGGAAAGGAGGAATAACAAAAGAAGAATATTGGTTTCTAATAAAATATCTACTTATATGACATTTATGATGTTTATTAGAAAACAGTTCCATGCACTACTTCTAATTAAATATTGTCCTTAATGGAATAAAACTGCAGCCTTCATGGCGTTACGTAGTTACTTTAGCAACTTTCCTTTTTCTTGTGAGTCGCATTGTTGTAAATAATGTATGGGAAACGCTTGGGAGCTACTGATCAAAATACCTTTCTGTTGATAACTTGATTTAGTAGATGAGACAAAAAGCTTTTTCCCTTGAAGCTGTTGGCTTAAATGAGTTCAAGGTGAGGGCTAGCTTAGGAAAGACTCCAAAGAAATGAGCAGTTTCATTTCTTGTAGTACTGCCACACTGTCAAGTTCAATATGTCCCTGGTAGAAACCTTTGTAGTCTTGGCAAAATGCTGAAAAATGGCATGAGCTTGATTATATGCTATTCTTTTGCAACTACCACCAACTTTTTGAACTCAAGAAAGAGAACTGCAAATATCTTACCTTTTACTTTAGAACCTACACTTTCTGAAGTCAATCCATAACTAAGATGAATTTTCCCACATTAATAATTTCAAAATCAGTGTTTTCAACAGAGAAAAAATATGTAATAAATTAGATTTTATTCACAGAGCTACTTAAACTTCATTTCTTATCCCAGAGTCCTAACATCTCTTATATCGACCAAGGCAGTTGTATTTTTCCCTGCATAGGAAATCATAAATTTTTATCAGGTGACAGTTCTCAATTGCAAAGGGTCTCCCTTCACTTGAAGGTGAGGACTATAGATGGAGGATTTTACATGACCCATTCTCATATGGAATAGCATGTGTGATAGAATGTCAGAAATGTTTTACACATTTAAAGAAAAAAGACTAAGGAAAATTTTGTTTGTTCATGTAAAAATATCAGAACAACCCAAGACTACAGTCTATTTTGGAACATGAAATGTTATTTTCTTTCATAAAATATCTCTAATTGCTAATGAAATATTTAATAAATTAAAATTAAATAAACAGTGAAAGCATGACATTAAAAATAATAAGACATTAGAATTTTTTTCCGGTATCATTCATCATAGAGCTCTGATTTAATACAATTTAATATAAGTTTTGATCTCTGAATGTTGTATCTTAACATTCACAGATATTTTTATCATAACATTTTTTCTGCAGGTGTGCAAACTTATTGAACAACTATCAAAATTTGTCTTCCATAACATTTTTGTGTGACAATAATTTTATCAGAAGGGCAACGAAGCTGGTGAAGGGCCTGGAGCAAAAGTTGGCTGAGCGAGCTGGAGTTGTTTAGCCTGGGGAAAGGGAGACTCGGGCAGGATCTTATCACTCTCTACAACTATCTGGAAAGAGGTTGTAGCCAGGTGGGAGTCGGTTTCTTCTCTTGGGCAACTAGCAACTGGATGAGAGAACATAGTCTTAAGCTTCATTAGGGGAGGTTTAGGTTGGATATTAGGAGGAATTTCTCCACAGAAAGGTTTATTAAATATTGGAATGGGTTGTCGAGGGTGGTGGTGGAGTCACTGTCTCTGGAGGTGTTAAAGAAAAGACTGGACACTGCACTCAGTGCCCTGGTCTAGTTGATGTGGTGGTGTCTGATCATAGATTGGACTTGATGATCTCAGAGGTCTTTTCCAACCTAATTGATTCTGTGATTCTGTGAAATACAGCCCTGTACACCTCATATAGATGAATAAACATAAATACTACATAGCATTCTAGTGGTACAAGAGCTCTTGCATATGGTTGTAGAGTGATATTTAAATGCACTCTCCTAAGACAAGTTTGTAATGCCAGAACTTTACGTACTCTACCAGAAATGATTACCTTTCAGTGAAATGGCTAGCACTGAGCAACATGCCACCATATTCTGTTTAAGTCCTCTTATTTCATGGAATTTCAGCTTTAGAAGGAGAGGGGAGTAATAATTTGTAAGATTAAATTTATTTTGCAATGCCTTTTTTTCTAACATCATGTTCTGACTGTCATCGGTCTGTGTGACCAATACATTTTCAGGTCATTCAGGTTTGCTTGAGGGAATTTAGAGACGGAGATGTCGTATCAGTAGGAACAAAAAATGGTGCATGCAGCTCATTTTTTCTAACTATATACCAGTCAGAAATGTTCAGATAATGTGCATGCAGTCACCTATGTGTTTTACAGGTTCAACACTTATGCCCAGTTTTCAAGATTTGGTGCATCCTCAGAAACAAAGTCTTTTCTACAATGATGTTCATCACCTCTGCTGTTCTCTGGATTTCTTCTTCACAGAGTAACAGCTTCTAACTAGATATATGGTGACAGCAACCCAGTGTGCCTTCCAAAGACTATGTATCTTTTGTCTAAAAAGAAAAGGCATATGTGAGAAATGTTTACCACAACACCAGCCACGTATGGGGCTTGGCCAGTACAAATGCGTATTTCTTTTATACATGGTATTCAACATTGCCTGCCTTGGGTATTTTCCACTCTTTTATATGTAACACTCAACACTGCTTGCATGTCTAAATTTTGGGCACTTTTCACTCCTGCTAACTCACAACTTGATCTTATAAATAAGAAAAGGATATTTTTAAAAATATAACTCCTCCTAGAGAACAGAATTAAAGACTTAATTTATTCTCTTCCACCTGCAAAAATGTATGTGGCCACCAAATATCCTCTTTCTGAACCTCCCAACTGAGTTCAGAAATTGAAGACATTACATGAAATTTATAATGAAAACATTGCTATAAATGTAGCACTCATGTAAGTTTCATTACAGGAGATCCCTTCAGGATCATAGCCAATATATATACAAACCTCAAAGAAGTTTATGTTAGACAATAGATATCATAATATATATCTTATAGTATATTACAAATATGGCCTATCTCATAATATATAGAGATACATATAGATAGATATTATGTAAATATTAGATACTCTAGGTGTATATATTAGGTACATGTAGGTATTATGTGTTAGTTCCATGTGAGAATTGGGAAGAACTGGTGGTGTTAAACTATATTTTTGCATTGATTTTCTTGCTGAATGTGAGATGTTGTTATACAATGTCAAAGAAAGTGAAATTCAAAACTGAGATACAGACTGTTTATTTTCAGAAGACAAAATCTTAAAACAGGACTTTGAAATACAACAAAGAGTTGCCACAGCCTTCAACTGCTTTACCTAGTTCATTTCTTCACTAGTTAATTCAGCTAGATTTCAAAGCAGACCTTCCAGTTCTAATTGGAAAACAAAGTTATACTGAATCACATGTTTTTACTGATGCATGATAATTTGTATTAACAAAGAAGACTGACATTTCTGAAAACAATCCGCTGAAATAAAAATATATGGCATAGATAGAAGATCACATTAATAATGATTTCATTTAGTTCTGAGTTTAGCATTTCAGAATACAAATCAGGTTTGAAAGCAATGCTGTAGAAGACCATCTCCTTAATGACATACATGGAAGGAAATCTATAACTCCATTGTTCATATATTACTTTGCCTCAGTTTTTGTTGCTTTTTTTTTCTACTTGAAAGAGTCATACTTTTTTTTTGAGAAAGCAACTGCTCTGCAAACAAGCTTCTGTACATTTTTTCAAGATGCACAGTCAAATAATAGGAATAAAAAAAAGTGCTACTTGCTTTAGAAATCATGTCCATTATACAGAGTTGTAACTGCCCTGGTAGGTAGCAAATACATCTAGATTCAGGCCTTTTAAAATTAATTTTTCTTCTGAAATAAATAAATCTGTGATGCAACCTAGACACTACAGCTTCAGAGAGTTGAAAAAGAGGTGTTTGGCCACTTTTACGTACTGATTCCAACTCAGCATATGGCTCCTGAGAACTCTGATGACATTTGAGAGACTCAAAATACTGAAGTCTTAGTCTCCCTCGTTGGATACTGAAAAGGATCTCTGGTTGTTGATTATTCAGTCATGTATTTCTTTCAGCTTTTATTTGTGTAATGGTTTTGTTTCACTTTTCCTCCATCAGAGTTCATAATTTTCACCAATAATTAGACTAATGCATCGGTGAGATTTTTTTGTCAAACATTTTTAAGGGAATTTTGTGGATCTGGCTGTAGAACTTCATTTATTTGAAATGGGAAAGACAGGAATTCCTCATCCAAAAAACACAATCTGCAATAATGATATTTCATCTAAGGTGGGTGTAGAGAAAATCCAAAGTAGTCCATGGCTGTTGAAATGTTGTCTAGGAAGACTTACATCCATCTAAGGAGTTCATATGTGAATTACAGACACCTCACTTCAGTCACAGCTCTGTGCTGCTGTAGGTTTCAGCTCCACTACTTACGACAAAATTTCACACCCCTTTAGCTTTCTCAGGTCTGAGACGACTTCTGTTCTTGCCTCATTAGAAACAGCTCTGAATAGCAATCTTTGTCTCCTTTCAAAAGAAACATATAGCTAGTGCAGATCCAGTCAATGTGCATCAGTACAGCATTTTGTTGTTCTCTTCCAGAACCTAAAGCTTTTATCAAAAAAAAAGGTTTTTACTGCTACAACCATAGTGATAGCCTCACAAACTATGGCAATAGGTGCAATGGCAGCTCTCTGCTACTTTTAAACAATGGCATTATAAGGTATGACCGATCTCACTCATCTCAGTGGCTGCTAAATTGGATGTCCCTGAAAACACTGGTGACATGTCACTACTTCATTCAGTCCTCATCAAAGCAGGTAGGAAAGGAGATTAAATTTTACCTTTTAAGCACTTGCACAATCCACTGTGAAGGAAAGCTCATTTGGGCTGGATAAGGGCATCTGGGAACACCAGTATTTGTCTCTCCTTACAATCAGGAACTTAAAGCCAGAATCCAGTTTATGTCCGAGATTCTCAAGGGAACAGTGGGAGGAAGCTACTGAGGCAAAGCTGACATATTCAATGTCAAAGAGCACGAGAGCCAAACCCAGGGCCTTAGGGACTGTATGTCACTGTATCTGGAAGAGTTATTGGCTTTGCTTTTAGCAGCTTCATTAGAAGAAGAATATAAAATGAACTTTCTTTCCTGAGCCAAACCTATGGCTTATATCACTGTTCAGACATTCCTTGTTCTCCTAGAGGAAATATTGCGACAGGTGAGACATATTTTTGCAAAGTAACTTGCTGAACTGTTTTGAAGGATCTTGATATATGTTTGGACCATACCTCTGGGAAACCACATACACCTCTGATCACATCATTTGATTTAGCCAGAATTCTGAGAGTAGTGGACACAGATAATCTTTCACTGTAACACCCAACATGCTTTACTGCATGTGACTGCATAGAAAAATAGTGATTTCTGTAGGCACATGAAAAAAAGGTGACACAGAAGCAGTCATTCACGTCACCTTGTACTTTTCCTTCCAGGGAATTTTTTAAATACTCAGTATAGGAAGTAACTGTACTAAATTTCAGACATTTACATTAGGGACTTTGAGGCAGACTTAGCATGTCCTATTCTAATACTGAAGTTGTCACAAGGGATTTCACATCTGATGCTTTTTTGATGCATTGGACTGAATGACACTAAATTTGGTTTAAATTAAACAATGAACCAGAGCTCTGATACACTTTTGCCAAATGCAAGAATAATATGTGGTTTTAATATAAAATAAAATTCACATTGCAAATAATTTCTTTAAGTAGTAATTTATATATATATATATATTATATACACTGTATATATTTTAGATAAATTAATGTTCAGATAGCCTGAACTGACAGTCTCAGGCCTAAAAAGACTTAGCCTGTGTTTTACTTGAGGCATATGAGCATTCCCGCTGGGCTTTGCTCTTTATGTACATAAACCTTTGTAGGCCTGAAGCCACAGCACAGGGGGAAAAAATACCAAAAGAATTTCAGAGCATTTCTTTTCATGACTTTGTGCTTGTGATGCTCTTGAATCTGTATCATTATTACTTTATTGTGTTTTGTCATTGTGGCGACAAAAGGGATTTTAGTGTAACTCTGAAGAGACTATTGTGCCATGGACACATCTTTCAGATGCCAGTTCTGTTCTGTAAAAAGGCAGAAACCACTTCTGGAGATAAGTTTTGTAATGACTTCAAAATATCTGGCCTCTGTAATTGTCGCTTTTCCAGAGCAAGAAAAATTCCTTTATGTCTTTTAGAGCTTTTCTTAAATGTTGCATGTGCCAATGACAGATACGTTTAAGCTACTTATATGCTTTTATCTATGTAGAACTTTACAAAGTAAAGCAAAACAACATGGTTATTTCCATTTGGAGAAAGGGAAGGGGAGGTATGGCTGAGAACAGCTACACAACCATGCTTGAGGTTATCAGCTTTCATTGAGAAGACAGAGACCAAGGTCATGTGTTCTGAGACGTCAGCGCTGTGCAAAGCATGTGTACCCCCTTTCCAGTATCCTGTGGCATGAGAGCTTTGACAAGCCCTCACTTTACCAAAAATCACGATGTGCAGCTTCCTTACAGCTACAGTCAGACAAGGATTGTGTAAGATAATATCCAAGTACTTAAAGGGGGCCTACAAGAAAGCTGGAGAGGGACTTTTTACAAGGGCAGGTAGTGATAGGAGGAATAGATTTAAGCTGAAAAAGGGTAGGTTTAGATTAGATAACAGGAAGAAATTCTTTACTATGAAGATGGTGAGGCACTGGTACAGGTTGCTGAGGGAAATTGTAGGTGTCCCATGCCTGGAAATGTTCAAGGCCAGGTTGGGCAGGGCTTTGAGCAACTTGGTCTAGTGAAAGGTGTCCCTGGCCATGGCTGAGGGGGCAGAATGAGATGATCTTTAAGGTCCTTTCCAACCCAAACCATTTTGTTATTCTATGATAGTGGGCAGGGTTGCTTGTGGAGGAGCACCAATAATGATTTACCTAAGGCTATGTCTCTCTGTGCACTATCTGTACATATAGAACAAATTTTAATTTTTTTTTCTCTCATTGGCTTTCTCTTTTTCTGTTTCTGAAAGACTTGATAGCATTTGATTGCTTACAATATGCAGGACTTAACATTTTATTTAAATCTACATCAATACTGTATTTTCAGGCCAGGTTTAAGTCCATCATTGTATCAAAATCTGCTTCCCATTCACCCTGTCCAGTTCCTAGTATTTAAGGACTTGGCTGCACGCTGGATTTTAGTCCTAGAAACACAATAGTAAGAGCAAATTGAGCAGATTATGCTGGACACTGGAAGACAGTGCTGCCAGTCTGGTAAGTCATAGCTGGGCATCAGGGATTTTGCCTTTCAGGATCAATCTCAAGAAAACAAGAAACCAACAAACTATGTGCCCCAAAAACCAATATATAAATATGTAAATAATTTCTGTCCAAGAGCAGACTGAAAAATCAGAATAACCAAACGTAATGTATCATTGTCAATTTTTTTAAGGAAATAATTCTTGATCTACCAGAAATTATGAACTCACTGCAAATAATCACAAGTTGGTAGCTTGTGCTTACACAGTATACTCATTACTGTTTTTTAAGTGTAGTGTAACTTACTTACATGTAACTTAAGAACAAACAATAAAGGCTATAAATAACACAAAAACATTACTTCCCAGTGATATTTAGGCTGAAGAATAACACCTATATTTCCTCCCTATTATTTTTTTCCCACATATGTGTTGGAATTTATATGAAAATTCATGCAAATATCAATTTTCAAATCTGAAAATGTTGTGTCCCTTTTTTCTCCATTTTGCACCTTTTCCTTTGTACCTTTGCACCTTTGCACCTTTGCAAACACAATTGCTGCTAGTCGTATCTCTCCTGTCCAGCTGCTTCATTCTGACAGTTTCCATCATCCTTCTTTTATAGATTTTCACCAGCTATAATCAGGGGAATTACCTCCGAATGCCATAAATATTCTTTACTGGTATCCCATGGCTTCTCACAGGGGAAAAAATATCCAAGGTAAATTATGTTGTTATGCTCTCATTTTATAAAAGTAAGCAGAGAAATGCACAATTGAATTCCAATTCATCTTGAAGCCTAAACAAAGTCTTTTTGACTCATGATGACACCTTTAATCAATACTTTCCTCAGCAATCAACATAAAATGTAAACTGGATAACTACAGTGTCAGTATGCAAGAAGGAGGCTGCCTGAAGAGGAACAATAGGCTTGTATCAAAAGGCATACGAAGATTTAAAGGATATGGCTTAAGTTCAAATTCAGTTAATCAGTTCATCACATGCTGAACATTAGGAAAGAAAGTCTCACTAAACTAGAAAAAAGCTTAAAAGCTAACTGAGTGGATCTGGGCTCACATTTGACTTCTTCAAACACTCTTGGAGCTCCTTAGGGTCCTTGGGAGATATATTCATCCATCTATCCATTCCTCTATCTTATAGCTGACATACCTTCAACCCTTAAACCATGAAGACTGAATCATCATACTCTGTGGCTGATCCTGTATGAGATACACCTCCCTTCCTATGTGTGCTCCCACACACTGTTCTTGAGTAAAAGTAACATGTTCTCCAACCTCTTTTCACTGCATCACCCTGCAAATATAAACAGGCCACTGGGAAAAAAATGTATTTCACTGGGGTTGGAGAGTTAGTGTTGGTGTTTGGAGCAGCAGAAACATTTTGAGGACTATTTGCATATAACTATCATAGTTTGTGAAGAGTTTCTGTGAGTGCGCTAGGTTTCAACAGTTCTACATTTTTAACAGTAAAAGGGCCATCCAGTACAATGGGAAATAAAGAATACTTTAAGAGCCTCTGGAAGACTTCTTGAATTTTTCTTTAATTGATTCATCTATTTTACTCTTAAAACTTTTACTGTTTCTCATCCCATTTGTAACACACTTTGTATCTAAGCAAAGACATATATATATCTTTATCACTACATATGTTTATGTCTGTCTTACAAGCAGCCTGCAACATAGGTTAAAACTCATTGTCATGGTTATCTGAATCTGGATATACCTAGTGGTCCACACAGCTAATAGATTAGACCGTCTTTTGGGAGCTCCATGCTCCTATACAGAAAAAAAGTCATTAGGCAGATAATCATGCAACCCCTGGGAACTTCATGACAAACGCAATGGTGTATTATGGAGGCTTCACTCTCCTGTCAGTGGGATAAAATCCCATAGTATCATACTGATATTTGTGTTCAGTTGTAAGATAATGAAGATCAAGTTCTGTGCAGAAGAACAAAGCATTAGGCTTTTTATACAAATTATTGTAGGTGATAATATTTACCTTCAGATCCTCCACAAGACAAAATTCCTTTCAAATTTTTTCAGTATCTTTCAAGTGGACAGAACATTAAAGGCTTGGTCTTTCTGATTTTTAAGTAATTTAGATTCCAGAATAGTTTGAATGTAGAAGGGAAGAGACTGACTTAAAAAAAAAAAAAAACAGACAGAAAAACAAACAAAATAGGTTTTGGTCATGCACAACTCTAGAAATAGAGAAAGAGTCTTCTGAAAGCTGGTTATGCACTGAATCATCACTCATTCAGTAGTTCATATTTTTTGTGTCGTTAGAAAGAATATTAACTCATAAGGCTACAGACAATTTATACAAATGTTAAACACATCTTTTATACAATCACTTGAAATTTTCACCTGGAATGAAATTGAGTTTCAGAACTTTTTAGAGGATTTTATGCCATTAAATAAAAATTTCCAAAGGGGACACCTGTGAATAAGCTTTTCTACACCAAAACCTATTAAATCTACCTTTCTCTTTCAGAAGATTGGTCAAATTCACTGAAGCAGAAGCATACTTCACTCCATATAAACCAGTTTAGCCCTGGATCACACTGAAGTCTCTAGCCCTCCTTTGCAGATGGACAGCTTCACATACACGACGAAATAACTAACGTATAGAAAAGTCAATTGTATAAGTCATACATAAATTCAAGCCCTGCTCAGAGTATTAAAGTCATCCCTCACTATAATAGTAACATTTCAAAAAAATGAAAAACTCTAGTGGTTTGGAGTTGAAACGTCTTTTCTTTCTAATCCTTCGAAAATTCTCCCAATCACCACACATTGTTACATATCTAACTATTAATTTTAACTTTAAGAAGTCATGATGGAGTCTAAAGATTAAAGATAATCAAAGTGCAAGCACTAATTTGTAATATGCAAATCCCACACTGGTTAATGTGGTTCTCTTCGGGATTTCTTTTACAAGTTACAAGTGACACAGACTATTTCTTTCTTTAGAACATAACCTTAGTATTGTCATTCTCCCAAGACCTAATTGTTATTTCAGAGAAATGGATGACTGGATATATCAAAAGACTGATCATGAAGTTTCAGCCAATTCTAAGGGTTATTGTTATCTTGGGGTTTAGACTAGATGACTTTAAAGGTCCCCTCCAACCCAAACCATTCTATGATTCTATGGTCTTCAAACCTATAGCTAACTCATGTATAAAGGCCTCATTTTCACTTCTTGGTCCTCAGTTAGATTCTCTTAGGTAGTATTCAGGCTGGAGTCAGTCAGTCTTCTCTGTCTCTTTCCTATGTAAAGTAGATATCTTTTCCCTCTGAAGAAGTTATTTTCCTAAAACAGATCAGATGAAGCAGAAAAGTATGGTCCCTTCTTCAGAGGAAAAGTTTACAATAAGGGATTATTACAAAGCATTTACTACTCAAATGCATTTCTGCAGACAAAATGAGTTAAAGATAAAAGAAAATCTTATCTTAAATTTGCATACTTTAGATGAGTAACCACATTGCAGAGAACTGCCTATTTCATTCCATTATATAATTTTGTATGTACACACGTTATACATACTAAGTAGCTAGACTATCTGTGATTCTCAACAATCAAAAGGAAAAAAAGAGAAAGCAAAATGAACAATTATGATGACTGCTTGTTGCAATTTAGGACCAAACTGATGTTGTGGAAACTAAATAAACACAGGTAACAAACTACTTAGAGTTTTACAGTACTTAATACTATGGATTGTCTCTGTATTTGGTTTTGGTTAGTCTATAGTTCCTGTATAAATGTGAGAGGACAGTAGTAAGACAAAAATGTTGATATACCATGGAGTATTACATTTGGATTTAAGTTATCCCGATGATTTTGACAGAACAGTAAAATCTGTAACTCACAGAAGCCCTTTATTTCCTAGGTGTTCAAACATAACAGAACACTAGAGTCTAAGCATCAAGCATTCCAGTGGCCTTCTTCAGGATATAGAATGATTGTCAAGTCAGGTGAACTAATTTGATTTTAAAATATAATTCCTGTCCTGCATCTGGTGTTAAAAATTCTCTCATCTTTGTGAGGAGAATAGAATGGTAATGGAATGGTAAAGAAGGTAAGGAAAACAAAATTTTTCAAATTCTAGTTAAGGTATGTTTTCTTGCATTGTATTTACTCATTTTCTTTTATAAAAGACACATTTTATCATCAGTCTATGCTGGCCTTGGTATCAAGAGGTGTTCCCTTGTGAACAAAAAGAGCTGGTAACCTTAAAATAATAAGTGAATTAAATGCTTGCGGAAGTACCAGCTGATGGCCTTAAGGCAGAAAATTATTCCTCTGTATACAATTCTACCAAGATTCAAGTACCAGCAGCATTTCCTGAAAACATCTTGCACTGAAGTCATTAGTCTGGTTTGAAGAGGTCACAACTCCAGGAATCAAATCAGTTTACTAACATCTGAATTTGAACACACTGGTCCCAAACAAATGAGGAGCTAGGCCACTGAAATTAATCAAGTTAGACAATGGAAATGGAAAGAAAGTTACTTAAATGCACCCTAACTGTTTTAACTTGGACATGTGAAAATTCAGTGTACTTGTACTGAAGTGGATTAAACTGTGGTGTTTCTCACTAGCTGAGGAACTGGTCAATGAATAAATAACAACTAGATTTACAAGAACAGCTTTTTTTTATTTGAAGCAAATAGAGTAACAGTCAAACTCTAAAATGTGGATTAGCTACATAGTCTCATATTGATCAAATTCTTATCTGAAATCAATACAAACTATAGGCATTATCAGTTGTACTACAAGAACGTTATAAAAATCTCTTATCAAAAACCCACAGTTCTGCTTCAGTTATGTGCTGAAGCTTCTCAAAACACAGAACAGGACATCCATGACTGATGTAACCATTACAAACTTTCTAAAGAAAGTTTAAGTTTCAAATTTTTATTTTCCCTGATAAGACTTAGGATCTTCTGATTTCTGCATGCATATTTATTAATTTAAACAATTTGTAATTATTGCAGTCTAAAATAATATTACATTTCTTTCCCAAATATAAGATTACTATTTTAATATTTCCTCCCCCATAACTGCTGATTATCTGAAAAACACTTTGGTAGTCAAACAAATAGTTTGACTATAGAGTTTGAGGCAAGCCTCTTGTAAGACTATGAGTCAGAGGTTAATTTGGCTTTTTTTCCCCTCTTTTTTGCCATCAGATGTTCTACCATATTTGCCGACTCTAATAGAGAGTGGAACAACCCACTTTTCTAATCTCCTTCTTGGAGCTTTGATACCTTATGTTTACTTCAAGTCTCATAAAAAGTAACCTAATCTTAGACTTTGGGGGAATAAAGTGCCTCAAGTAGTATGCAAAAGCTCAGTTTGGGACTTCCCTGTTGTTTGGTTGTGTTGTGTTTTTCTTTTTCCCCTAGACAGTATACTTATGAAAACCAAAGTCTAGAATTCTCACTTAGGCACAAATAATCCTGGCATCTGTTTAAAATTTTAATAAAATATGTAGGGGCCTTTCTTTTTCTTTCTTAGCCCCTTATGACCAGTGAGTAACACAGTGACATTTCCTGATATCTAGTGAACAGTGTTTTGAAAGAACTAATGAAGAGTTTCTTATTAAAAGTATTTAAAAAAACCGTGTGAGTGACAGTCTTTAGCAGTTTAATTTGGAAAGAAAACTAGGCAGTACATTATGTCTTCAGTATAGAAGTGGCTTATACACATGAATTGCTGTCAAAAATTAAGAAGTTATTTAGGTTTCTAGTACAGCTTAAGCAAATTTCTTACTATAATTAAGAAGGTAGAAGAAATCTTTCCAAAGAAAGACAGGAACATACAGAGACTCCTTTGATGAAAATTCATCTTTAAAACATTGTCTTTAAGAATTGTGCTACTAATAAAGATGATTCTCAGAACTAGAATGGGATGTAAGTTCTCAGAACTTTCTATGGGATGTAATAACATTTGAACTTCCTCATAATGTAATTCCAAATCTCATTAGACTATGGTGACATTAAAAGTCCTTCAGAAGGTGGAAAAAAACAGAAAAAACCCAACAACCTAGAACACAAACTATAAATATGTTCTGAGATTCCCTGCACTCAAGAGCAGAAGCAATTAAATGCCTATTACATATTTATTAAGAGTGTCTCACCAGCTGCAAAACCAACATGTGCACGTACTTATTCAATGAAAGGATGATTGAAAGTATGTTGAGTCAAACTCTAAAAATTTGTGTTGTGCAGCTTCAGCGAGACTCTGAAGAGTGCACCATCATCAGAGGGTTAATGTGATTTGGTGGCAGGCTGACTTGTCTGGTTCGGCAACACACACTCTGTGATGTTCCCCAACAGTGAATCTTGGGGATTAGCTCATGTTGATACCTACACGAGAGACTGAGAAAGTTAACTTGGGCACGTGCATGAGAAAAGCCTGCAAAAACATTGACTGTAATGGAAACAGTAGCTGTTCTGCTGTAGTCAGCAGTATATTCTTCTTTCACTTTCTGCAGCACTTCTGTAGCCATAAAACCTATATTAAATAAGTTTTGATATAGCTTGCTAGTATCTTTAGCTTGCTAGTACCTTTGTACCAGGTTTCTAAAAATTATGTTTACATTCTTCATTAAGAATTTCAACAGACAAGGGATTTTAACGAGGTAAAGAGTTCTCTATCTGTAAAAATGTACTGAGAAAGAGACATAACACTTGATACAAGTAGAGCTGTTCAGGAGCCTTAAACCATTCTTGAAGGTGTGATACTGTGCCAAAGGAGATGAGGAAGAGGAAGACAAGATGGAGATAAGGGATCTTTGGGACCTCCAACTCAAATTAGGGAGGCATGTCAAGGGTGGTACTAAGGGAGGGATGGTTTTGGAAGTGGGTGTAACAGTATTAGGTAATGTTTTGAATTGTTAATTAGGTAACTAAATAAAAGCAAGAGGCTTTTGTAACTCAGGTATGCATGCTTTTGAAGAAATTAGATTCTCGTGCATCTAACATCATAATAATAAATGGAATGCTGGCTTTTAAAACTCACAAATTCAGTCTTAGGGGGTTTCTTTTAAGAGCTGATTTTAGGCATCTTTTCTTCCTCAGGCATTTAATTTTGTTTCTACACACTCCCCCAGCCCCCCAATCAAGTACATAACACCATATGTCTTCAATTCTAATACGTCAGTATTTTGCGAAGATAGTCCAAATGACATTTCATGAAAGTAGTTTTGTCATTCTCTGAATGGATGCTTAAATCCTGTTGTTATTGAAAAGGTGACAACTCCTCATCTTACAGTGTTTTTACTATTTAAACTTCAAATTCTAGAGAGGTGACATTTCCTTACGAACAGACAGAAATAGTTGCATTTTTCTGAACTTGAGATTTCTAATTTCTACTAACTTAACTGTTTTAAGATAAGAGCTACTCTTCAGGAGCTTCTCTTAAGAATTTTGTTTTGAAATGTGTTGAATTATTGAAATAGTGTATAAGAAGTTGATGTCAAGTCCTACAGAATTGAGTGCCCTTATCATATGATGAAAACTTATGACCTATTCATGACATATTCAAGGAGAATTGACTTCTAATTCTGGAAAGAATACACTTTTTCTTTAGATTTGTGGATGGAGAGCTTCTCCATGATAATTGCAAAGTTGTTATCCTTGTTCGACTCTCTAAAAGAAGGATATAGAAAAGGCATTCTCACTGACACGACCGTTATTGTTTGCTTGTGTCTTTAACTTTTTTCCGCACAGATTTTCTTTCCTTTCATTTATAATTCAATTATGACACTTCATAATTGCAATATTGTGATTGATTTTTAATTTGGATGTTCTTGGTAGGGCACATATATGTGCAATGCTAGAAATCTCAAGTGGCATTAAGAGAGACAACAATGAGAATTGTTCTACTATTTATTGTGCTCTAGATTTGTACAAGTTAGGAATTTCTGGAATAAATTTTTGTACTATTCAGTAATTTAAAACACCCCTTCCTTTTGTAGGACTAATCCTTTGAAGCTAACTGAAATGTAGTTTGTACATTAAGGAATTCATTAAATTCCAGATCAGTAAGAATTCAGGGACAGCAGCTCTAACTTAGGAAATATATTTGATTTTCTGGGGAGAATAGAGTAAAATGAGCAAGGGAGGTAGGTTGGCATTAATTTTTTTAGACTTCTAAAGCACATTTTACATGGCATGACAGATAAAAGCAATTTTGAAAATAAAGTCTCTTGGGGTTATAGAAGGAATAAAAAAAGTGAATTGGGATGTGGATAGAGGAAAGAAGCAAAGATCTATGATTTAAGAGGTAAGCCTGGGCTAAAAGGCTTGTGCAGTCCATTACACCATATTTGTTAATGTGTATTGAGCAGCTCTTGACTCCTTTTTTCTAGCAGTAAACTATAGATTTTGTAAATTATATAAATTTGTTTTTAATTCCCACAAACAGTACGTAATTATACATTAGTTTCTAGAGCCTGGTGAACCTGGGTAATCAAATTCAGTATAAGCTACTTAGGTGTTGAGTGTCAACTTATTTGATCTTTAGAGATACTTATTTTAATTCACTTCTATAATATTGATGGAGAAAAAAACCCATAATATTGTACCTTTGTACTGCTCGTCTTTATCTGCTTCTGTTAAAAAATTAAAATTGTGTTAATAGTTGTGTGGTAAAAGTTGTTAAATCCTTTCTTGCTGCTAGTCTCTGCTTCAGTCTAAAGAGTTAAAGCTGTACAACCAAGTTTACTTGTCTTTGTATTAGTGTTGGACAAGTTAGTCTCTAGCAACTTGTGTTTCACATCTCCAGAAAAAATGTACCCTTCAGTAAATAACAAGTAAGCTGGAAGAGAAGCTACATAAAAATCCCTTTTCTTTAATAAATTCATATTTCAGCAAAGCTCTTACATTGGTTTTTAACTATACACACACTCTAGTTAAACATATTCTTAATTTTGCTGTTTTGACAAATTGGTTCTAAGCTGCCTTCATTTGAAGGAAGACTGTGACTGACTCTTTACTTGACTAAATTAATTCAGAGCACAAAGCATTTCAACCCCAAAACAAACCACACTGGGAACAGAGGATGGAAGAATGAAGATGAGGTTATATTGGAAGTTAGTTTGTGTTAACAGTGCATCTTCAGCTATGTAAATAGTAGCAGTTACAAAGGGAAATGGAGTCAGAGATTGCTTTCTTCCTCAATCATATAATCACAGAATATCTTGAGTTGGAAGGGACCCATAAAGATCATTGTGTCCATCTCCTATTTATTACATGCTGTAATGAGCATGGAATTCCAAATATCTTTCACAGCTGTGATGGGAAAATATGAGGAACTATTTGGGGAAAAAATATTATTTAAAAGAAAAATTTATGTATTAAATGACTGTGAAAGGCAGATTTACAGAATTTACTGACAATCAAGTGCTTATGACGGATAGTCCAAGGACACTCTGAGTAAACATTAATTCAGCATCACTTCTTTGGATTTTTCATTACTAAGTCTGAATGACTGACACAATATAGTTCTACAACGGGAACATCAGATTTTAGATCTATTAACAGCAAGTAAATTATTTATTAACTTACAGGATATCAGAAGTTATTTGGCAGTTGGCAGGCATCAGCGAGCCACAGATTAACTGAACACCACTGTTGTGTACATCTTCTGAGCAATCTATTTCAGACCAGAATTTTTAATAGATACTCTTATTTTAATTTTTACTAAGGACATAAAAGACCCTTAAGCTGCTTTTATCACTTGCTATAGCTCTTCTATAGACATAATATTATGTTTTATAACAACTCAAAAGAGAGACTGAATATGTTCCCAGTTGTTTCTGAAAGCAACATTACATACAGCTACTTTGCAGAGGAAGGGATTTGCACAGTATATGAAAATAAGCAACAAAATATGGATGCATTCTGGAACAGTTTTGTGATCTTTTTAGACTGGGAGAAAGAGCAGGGATAAGAGGAAGACACAGTTGTAGATAGTAACAGTCCATTTCTTCAGAATTATCTCATTGGAAAGTGCATCCTGGGCTACTTCAAAAATAATGTAGCCAGCAAGTAATTCTGCCCCTCTACTCAGTCCTAGTACTACTGGGAGTCCGGCATCCAGCCCTGGGTAGGTTTAGATTAGATGTTAGGAATAAATTATTTACTCTGAGGGTGGTGAGGCACTGGAACAGGTTGCTCAGAGAAGTTGTGGATGCCCCATGCCTGAAAACACAAAATTTCAGATTGGATAGGGCTTTGAGCAGCCTCATCTAGTGTTTGGCATCCCTGCCTATGGCAGAGATTGGAACTAACAAACTTCAAGGTCCCTTCCAACCCAGGGCATTCTATGATTCTATGGTTGACGAGACCAGTCTCGTTACAGAGAAGTGGCTTGTTTCCCAAAAAAACACTTTTTGTTGCCTTCTTCAGTTGTGGTTGCTTCTCCTCTGTAGAGAAACTGAAAACACTGACAGCTTTTGAGGTTTCTGCTGCTTTCTAGGCTACCTGTCATTTCAGTATCT